ATCTTCGCAAATCGATTTCACGGATGTGCGGACGCGTCGAAGTTATGACAAAATTGGCGGGAATATTTCTGTGCTGTTATTTCGCCCTTTTTTGGACTTTTTCCTTGTGATTAATTGTTCTAATTAATATTATCAATATGTAATAGAAATGTTTAAGGAAAAAAATTCGATTTTYCAACAAATATTTGGCGCTTTGTTTCCTTWTCGAGCGAAGTATGGGTTTCCTGTGGTGGTTCAACTTATCCAGGAAGGACAGAAGGACGGAMGGAAGGAAACGTGCGTACGCGCGGGAACCCTGTGTCGGTCGATGGAAAATCGACTCGATGGTATACCATTTTTTCTTGGCTATGGTGCTCCGCTCGCGCGGGCCGAAGAGCTCCGCTATAAAGATATTATCGGAGTTATTAGTTATCCATTCATTATGTATTTTTCAATCCATCATGACTATAATTGTTAGATAAACAGTTGTGCAAAAAGATAAATTTAACACCGTTATTAAGAAGAGCAATATTGATGACTTCCACAAGGAAGGAGGTTATCAGCCATATACCGTCAAGATTACATTTTCAGAAAATTGAWAAWWWWTTTTAAACATATTAAAAATATTATKTATCTGTTAAAAGTCTCAGGAGATTTCCAAGGAAACCACTATTCTTAAATCAATATATCATTTTGTCTTGCTTTCCCATTTAACATTTTGGAAAATKCTCTACAGTTGCAGGCTTGAACKTATTSCTTCGACTGACAGAAACAATGGATGGGGTGACGGTTTTGGCCGCCATCTTGGACCGGTAGGCATAGTGTCGTAAAATGACAAGGAATGAACTGGTAATCGATGTCAAATAATTTCCGCTGAATTCAAATTCGGAAAGAATTATTAATTGCAAACGTTGAATAGTACAWAAAGGAGTTACCTGGCCAAACATGAAGGATGTCAGTTCTCAATGCATTTCTTTGTATTTTACACGCGCGTCACGCGCTGATGACTCCGGAAATTACAAAGAAATGTATGGAAAACGTAAAATGGGTTTACTCGCGCTCTAGATCAAGTACGCCATTCAAATTTGTCCAGTTAACTCCTTTTTATAGTTTCTATCGATATCACGATCATTCCTTGTTATTTTGCGACACTATGCTTACCGGACAAGATGGCGGCCAAAACCGTCACCCCATATATTGGGTACAGTTGATCAAGGCTAGCAAAGGCTTGCATCTGGTTGAGTGGGAAAAATTGGACTTTAGAAGGGAAAGATGAAATCAGTGATTAATCACAACTGTACAGCTCAATTCTCATGGACATCCAACGATACCAAGCTTTCGCAACAACTCGAACGTATCTCGCCAAGAAAGGAGGTCGTAAAATGTTGCAAACGACTGTATCACTGTCATAGTTTGCTTGGAAGACCTAGAAAAGAAAACTTTATGCAATATAACAATTTATATTTAGATATTGCTTGACTTTCACTAAGGATATTCTTTCTTTCCTTGTAAATATTTGTAAATAATAAAATAATAAATAATATTTAATAATTAAGGCGGCTGCACACTGGCGCTTTTTTTTTTTCGTGCAACTTGTGTCGCGCAAAAAAAAATGTGTAAGTTGGTTAAATCCAGCCTACAAACATCTTTTTGACAAGAATGATATCATTACAGAATTTCGGTATAGGTAATAGCATCTTTTGTAGTGGTATTTRGAATAAATATCACGCATAATATTTCAAAATTGTTGAACAAAATTGTCGAGMGAAGCGAGCGAAATTTGTRACAATTTTTGAAACATCAAAAGTGRTACGGGTATTTATCCCAAATTCCAYGTACAAAAGATGCTATTATTTATTTATAAAATGATTGAACAAAATTGTGCAATTTGAAATACTACTATTAACCCTCTGGCGACAGCCCTATAGGATATCGTTCGAATTCAAACGATGTGTCTAAAATTGATAAGTTACCGAAATAGTAAGGTATAGCCCTGACATTGTTAGTACGTACTCACTAGTAAAAATTGTCGATCTTAAAGTTCAAAGAATTTCCCAACGAGGAAAAAAAAACAAAACAGTACTCTGCTGACAAGTGAATGCCAAAATTTGCGTTTGGAGGACTACAGGAAACACTAATTTCCAGCTCAGTTTTTAGCGTCAAAACATGTTTAATAGCAAAAAGTCCACTTAACTTGAATATCCCTTTGATAGCACGTCCTCATTTTGCCGTTTTTATTCTGTCAAAGTCACTGCAGACCTCTCAACAGCCCTCTTTTGAGCACCCAGTACAATACGCTCCTATGCACGACCGAAATGCATGATGGGAAGAGACAAAATCTGGACATAAATCGTGCAGCATTCTTCTTTTTTTAATGATTATTTTATAAGTGTGAGCTCCCCCACACCTACAGACAAAATATTGGTCCAATTGCAATCTTTGGTTGTCAAATATTGCCAAAATCACCTTGGTAGGTTGGAAAATCTGCCACAAATGGACCAGGAAAGCGATCTTACRATGGTGTCTCCAGTTCAAAACACTGCGAAACTTTGAGCCATTGTCTTCGAAAAATTGCTTTCCACCTCTGATTTCTTCCAGAAGATTGTTCTGGCCACTAGTCAAGCTTAATGATGCAAGCCTAGGGGCTTATGTGGCAGTAAAAAGCTAAAAAACAGACACTTATAAATGGTTTTTAAGGTAAATTTAGGTTTAACCGCTCGATAAAGAAACCTGATCCGACCTAAATTTACAATGAGTTGAATAAAATAAAGCTCCCTAGATCAAACTTCCGAATAAAAAACTAAGCTAGAGACAACTACATATGTGTTTTAGTTATAACATGGTAATGGGTAAAATACCTTTTCAACTTCATTCTCATTTGCACTGTAAGTTGTCCAGGTAATGTGATCACTGCTATAATGGATGGAATAAGCAGTAACCCTCTGTTCACTGTTATGCCTTCCCTGTGTAGCGATCTTGCAAATAGTTGTGTTAGTTCTGATATCGACCTCTAAATATCCACCATTTGCTCTTCGATTGACACCCCATGAACCGCCAACAAGAANGCTACATCCTCCTATTCTTGCATCCGCCTAAAGGGAAAAATCGCGCGCTTTAAAGGTTGTAAATTTGATGTATTTATGATGTAAGTGTCCAAAATGATGTAAATTTGATGTAAATCATTTCCATAAAATTTACATCATTTTGGACATTTACATCATATTTCCATCAAATTTACAACCTTTAAAGCGCGCGATTAAAGACCAATAKACAGCTCGGATAAAGCAGAAGATGCAAAGTAATGATAGGAACAATCATCATTCAGCGAGTTAATGCACCTATCAATGTTTTGCCCCAAGGGGATTTTGACGGGGATTTTGACATTTTCGATTTTTAAAATTCAAAATCCCTACCCCTGGTCCATTGGTATCGATCAAATTCTCGGGCCTCGGGACAAAAAAAAAGTGTTTCATACTAGATTATTGCAGGTTATTGAGCAATGAACAAAGGGACAAATAATGACTGAATGCTAAATTCATTTTTGTAACAAGTCACATCGCATTTTCCATGATAAATCAAGTAAAAGTAGTTCGATATTTACCTTCTCCTCCGCACAAGGTTATCACGTGGTGGCTCCAGTTGACTTCTGGATAAAACTAGTTTCCAGGATTACTCGGCATTCAAAATGGCGCCCATCTGTTGAAAATTTTCCGTGTCAATCCCGTGTCAAATTTTTCCCTCCCCAGAGATAGATTCAAACCGAAATCCCCTCTCCAGGGATATTTCAAAAATCAAATCCCCGGGGTTCGCCTGAAAGCTTCTCGGCAAAAAGTAGTCTACATAAGCTTACAATAATCAACATTGTTTCAATAATCGTTGAACCCGGACTACTCGAACTTCACATATCACAGAAAACTGTATACAAAAAATATTTTTTTTACCTTCATTATCGAACTTCCGATAAATTATCGTTCAAAGGTCATCTTCAACAGAGCCATACTTGTTTCAAGCATAGTTTTCATC